GCATAAAAAAGTGAAGAAATATATCTGATGACCATCTTCCAAAAGAACGGCTGTTCACATAACTTTATCAAAAAAATATCAACTGAAGTCGTTGACAGAAGCGAAATCAAGTACAGGAACTAATAAACGGATCATCCTACAGTACATCAAAGACATATCGGAGCATACACACGACTACTGAGACCATTTGGAATAGATGTAACACACAAACCAACAGAATCATTTCAATTAATCGTATATAGACCAAAAGACAAAATGACAAAGGAAGAAAAACCAAATATCATCTACAAAATAAACAATTGCTCAGACTGTGAAAAACACTACAAAGGACAAAGTGGACGTCCTCATTGGCTTCGTCTACGTGAACACCAATTAACAATCAAACGCCACTACATTTCCTCGTTTATATCAATATATATACGGACAACTATAGACATACGTTTGATTGGAACAATGTGGAAATACTGTAACATCCTATAGTTTAGAAAAAGTCTGTCTTCCTAAAACTTGATTTCAAAAGTGAATGAAGTAGCGGGGAGGATTAATTTGAGACTAAACGCAATACGAAAAAACAATACGTGCAGAAGTTAAATTATTATTTCTATACCAAACTAACTGTTCATTGAGACAATCAAACATAGACAACCGATCCTCTTTATGTTACTTTCAATTGTGTTTACCAGCTTACATAATATACTTGTCAAACCACATAGATCGGAAGAACAGAAAGGAGGGCTTTTGTCTGCATCTCCGGACATTTTCCACAAAATGTGAAACTAAACAGACAATGGTCATGATGTTTAGAGTCTCTTAAATCCTTCATACTAATTTGGATTGTTACGCTGTGTTGATACAAAAGGCTTAAACCGAATTTTCGTATTCAGAATAAAACAGTTATCAATCTTGTTTTGCCCTGGTGAACTTTTTTAGGGTTGATTACGTAAGACTGCTCACTTTTTGTTTTCATCGTCTTTAACCAAATTTCTAAATACGTTCATTCTTACTTCTGAGCTTTACTCAACTATTCAGTATTACGCAATCTATTTTCTCTTTCCTTCAAGAATATTCAGATGAGCAAACATTTAAACAGTTCTTATTCTTACTTAGTAGAATTTCTCAATACTATTAGTGTGTGTAAGTCAAATTATTCTTGATATTTCTGAGATATAAAGTATGTGTACTGTTGTTTCACATTCACGATGAATACTATGGTTTTCGATTGTAAGCAGTCTTCGGTAGACATTGCCTACACCCGAACAGGCTGAACTTCACTGGTCACGTCTTCCCACTAGAACTCGGAGAAGATTCCTCACAAAGCTAGTCACTAGTGAGCACAGGTAATTTGAATTATGGGGTTGTGAAGATTGTTAAGTTACACATTTTTAAAAGCATGAACCGATCAATGGCTCAGTGGTCTAACGGTTAGGGCGTTCGCGCACAATACCGAAGGTTTCAGGCTCGAATCCTGCGGGGTGCAAGAGTCGTGGATGCGCACTGCTGAGGCGTCCCATGCCAGGACGAGACGGCCGTCCAGGTTTCTAATGGTGGTCTAACATTGGTCGTTTCATGCTTTCAAAAAAGAATGAATTCACCCGTGTCATTTTAAGCCATATCATTCAGAGTCTCCGACCGCCGTTTGCTGAAACGCTTGTGATAAAAAAAAGCTCAAATCGAGTTTCTTTTTTTATCCAGAACGAAACAATTTTCAATCTTGTTTTTGATTTGATTACGTAAGACTGTTTGCTTTATGTTCTGATCATGTTGAACCTGAATTCTTACTCCGGAGCTTTACTCAACTATTCAATATTACGTAATCTATTTTCTGTTTCCAAAAAAACTACTTTTGGTGTTTGTGTCCTTCGAGAATATTCAGATGAGTAAACATTTGAACAGTTCTTATGTGTAACGGAGTCAAAATCACCATGTATGATATTGCTAACCCGTTCTGTTTTCAGGGCGATCAAACACAAACGCTTTGGAAGCTGAAGAACAAGCCCTGAATGCTGTGAACTTACAGGATGACTCATAAGACTTTTGGTACGCTAGCCACCCTTTTCTGTATAAACCCCGCGTATTTTAATTTTCAAATAAAAAAGTGCCGTGTCGACTACTTCGTGTTCTCTCTTGGTGTGAAGTGTTAAGCTAACACTTTGTGCGTTGCAATTGTACAACTGATCCGCTGTTCGATGACTGCTGATAACACGTGTTACACTTATTCTTCCGTATGATAATCTCTCAATATTATTTATTGGTGTGTCTCCACATTTTAAATCAAATTATTCTTAATATGTTTTCCAATATATGAAGTATATGTACTCGTGTTTCACATTCATGATTCATACTATGGTTTTCGATTGTAAGCAGCTGAGGAGAGATTCTATGCAGTAAATAAATTGATGATGAGATTAATTTTTTGATTAGATATATATATTAATTCGATCAATCCGCACATTTGAAATCATCAATCAATCATTGTTAGACAGAGCACTATTAGAAACCTGAAAGCACCGGAAGACGGACGTTTCGTCCTGGTATGGGACTCATCAGTGGCAGTGCGCATCCATGACTCCTGCTCCCCACAGGATTCGAACTCGGGACCTTCGATATTGTGCGCAAACGCCTAATCATCGGGCCACTGGTATCCAACGGTGTTTATGTCTAACTCTGATTAATCTACGAATTTTGAGCGACCTAATCCATTTGTCTTTAGTAGTTACTGCCTACACCAAACAGGGTTGAACTCCATTGGTCACGTCTTCTCACCACTAGAACTCTGAGAATTTCTTCACGAAGCTAGTGACTAGTGAGCACTGTTACGATATTTTCGGGCACTTTTTTTTACACATTTGAAATCATCAATCAATCATCGTTAGACACAGCAGCACCATTAGAAACCTGGAAGCACCGGAAGACGGCCGTTTCGTCCTGGTATGGGACTCATCAGTGGCAGTGAGCATCCACGACTTTCTAATGACTAAAACTCTGCCCCAAAAATATCAATCAATTCAGAATCAAATATTTTCTCATATAACCGAACGCAAATGTTTCAATTGAACTAGAGAGAATTGAATATATGACGTTGGAACATTTCATCAAACAGAGTTTATTAAAACAAGATTTGATTATCAGATTGGCTGATTCAGATTATGATATCTTTCATATTTTTGGCAAGTTTTTCTGCATCATAAAATGTAACGGTCGGTCGGGTACGTGTATGACTAATCTAATCAAACAGAACAGAAAGTAAAACACGTTACAGTAGGCTGCACAACTCAATGGACGCGTGATAATCCGCTGAAATTATTAACTGACCTAATCAGATATACTCTGTGATGACCTTTATTACAAAATTTCATTGAATTTATGAAGTGATCCATGTTAGATCACCATTGAAAACCTAAAATCACTAGATGGTCATTTCAATCTAGTACGGGACACCGATGGTGTGCGCAACTACAATTCTGCACGGGCAAATCGAACCTAGAATCTTCGATCTCGTGTGCAAACGCCCCAACTACTAAGACCATTGCTCGACATCCTAACGTGTTAATGTTTAACCACAATCAACCAGGTTCAGTTATCAGGAAGTTAAGCGTTTGCGCGCGAAACCGAAGGCTCCACGTCCGATTCCCACTTCCAGGATAGCGAATGTACACCTGCCTATACTTATACACCTTTACTTTGAATAACACAACACTGGCATGATTCGAATACCCGCTATACGTAACTAGACCTTAGTTAAACATTATATATATATATATATATATATATATATATATATTAGTATAGAGCCATGATAAAAATCTAATTGAAAAGAAATGTCTTCACTTTAATTATTCTACTTACTAAATAGTACGAGTTGTTTTGACAGCACTAAATATATTTTCGCATTCCCCACCCCGTTCTATGTGGCTTGTATCAATTCACTAAAGAAACGAACTCATATTGAATTGTCATAAATTTTATTACTCAGTGACATATTACAAACAGATTCATATGTTCGATTTGAAATACTTAAGATTATATAAAGCATTGTTGATATATTTGGCTGACATGTAATCAGATTTAATTAGGCATTTCGGTTGTGAAACATGTAGGGCAAGAGTCGAGGATATTAGTAGGTTATTAGTATTCGATTATAGATTTCTTCGAAGCATTGCCCGTATATCCTAAGACAACCGAGTTATCAGAGCTATAGTTTGGAAACGAGTACTAGGTAAGGATGGCAAATCACAATAGATGAAGTAATGAAACTTCATCAGTTGAGGTTGTTGGGACATGTGTTACGTATGCCAAATCACCGACTGCCTTGACGAGCTATATTTTTCCGATATAGGAATAGGTTGGACGAAAGCAAGGGGTGGCCAGACCCAAAAGTCTCTGACAAGTGGACTGAGTTATGTTGGTAGATGTAGGCTACCTGGTTGGGGTCCGCGAGATGATAGTAATCAATGGTTAGAGACCCTGAATGACATGGCTTAAGACCGTTTGCAGTGGCACAGGTGCATTTATTCTTTGCATTCACTCTAATTCTAAACTTCTGAATTTCTCATCACCTCTATCTTTCTCTTCGTAAATTCACCTCACTGAATTATACTTCTTGAATATCTTCGAACCCTAATCTTCTCCGATTACTGCTCCTACTCCTACTGGTCAGTATTATATTCATCATAACTATCAATGTCACGCACTCCAATGTTGTTTCCTATTCAACCTAAATGTATAAATACGCATTATCTGTAACGTTTTATGACCACGACCAGGACCCGGATCCCTAGTCCGAGATTCTGATTCTCTTCTGGATTCGGACCTCGTACTTTCTGGATGCTTCATATCATATCTTCTTATTTTTTATTCAATATGGGGGTTGGAATAATCAGATTTGAGTAGTATGTCGTGTCGCCGGATCCTCGGCCTCGTTTTCCGACTAAGGCGAAACTCGTCATAGTTCAAGTATATCAAATTGACGTGTTTACGTGCAGGCGTAACAATATCAAAAACAAAAAAAAACAAATTTTATTTGAAAATGATATCGTGAAATTTTGAACAACGCGCACTAATGAACAATTAAAACAAAATACAATAGAAAAGACGAAGAGAACATACACAGAGAGAGAATTCCTTGAAGAAATAGACTGACAGACAGAGTGGAAGAAGAAAAAGAGGAATTCACTGGAACATAGCAACAGGATCACAGTTTATGCATTGGTGCTATTGTGTAGTATAGTTAGTTCGTTAGTTAGCTAGTTACATCATAGACCATTAATTTTGGCCTAATGTTTTTTTACAAAATATATAAATACATATGCATATTGATACGCGCTACTACTTGGTGCTTTCTCTCTCACTGTGTGTGTATGTGTGTGTGTGTGATATCATCCTGTGTCAAAACAAACATGATTTTTATACACAAAATTACAAAAGTGAACAATTAAGAGAATAAAAAAAAAAAGAAAATAGTAGAAACATGGCGGACAAGTGAATTTACTGAACAACAACAACAACATTCCATTCGTGAATTCAACACAGAGTGTAACAATCTCAATCTGAAAGATAAAGGGAAAAAAACACAATTTCATTAGGAATCAATTGAAAAACACTGTTGGTACGATATACTGTGCTCAAATAGTTAAATCAATCAATCAATAGCAACGTAGAACTTTGTACGTACGTACGTACTGTACATCAGTTCATGTTGACATACCACAACATTACGACACACACACACACAGATGTAATTGTCAATTCAAACCCAATAGTAGTAGAGATAGTAAAGGTATTAGCAATAGTCAGGGAGGTTAGGATCTAGTTAGAATCTAGTTAAATAGACTTGATGAAGAATTAAAAAGTTTAGGATTTGAGAGAAGAACATATAAATTATAATCAGTTTCATATTAGCTATCACATGGTAACCGTTTGAATGAGAACCTCAGTCGACATGGTGAACAACTGATGAATGTTCCCGTCTCCGGCGGTAATTCGTCGGGTAAGATGAGGATTGGCAATTTGATGATCTATCTTTTCTAGCCTCATCGTTCATTAGAAATCAATTGAAAAAAAAAACACTGTTCTTTCGACATACTGTGCTCAAATAGTTTTAGTTTGTATTTGTATTTACTTCGGTGTTTGCAATGTGGTGGTCTTTTGTTAAATTATATCGTTATTGTATTATTTCTTATATTCGGTAGGAAGATAGACAGACAGATAGATACAACGCAGAACTTCGTACGCACGTAAGTACATCAGTTCAGGTTGCCGTATCACAGCATAGCACAGAGACGCAACTGTCAGTTCAAATCCAAGAGTGATTGCGATAGTAGAAATATTAGCAGTAATGGAGAAGATTAGGGAGAGAAGATATGATTCGAAAAGTATACTTCAGTGAGATAAATCTCGAAGGAGAAAGATAGAGATTATGAGGAATTCAGAAGGTTAGAATTTCATAGAACACAAGGAGTGGATGCACCTGCGCGATTGCAAACGATTCTGAGCCATGTCGTTCAAGGTCTCTAACCATCGGTGAATTTCGTCTCGCAGACCCCAACCAGGTAGCTTACATCCACCAACATGACTCAGTCCACTTGTTAGTGACTTCATGCATTTCTGCCATGTTTTGGTTTGGCCACCCCTAGCTTTCTTCCAATCTACTTTTTTCAAAATTCCCAAATCAACAAGTAATTCCATAAACATTTGAAACTTTTTATTTCTTGTGAAAACTAGTAATCATGATTCTGCTATGGAACCCATCAGCAGTGCACATCCACGACTCCTGCACCTCGCAGGATTCGAACACGGGACTTTCGGCCTCTAGATCAATCACAGAGTTAGACATTAACACCGTCGAATGCCAGCCAGTTCAGTTGTCCAGGCGTTAGGCGTTCGCGCGCAAGACCGAAGGTCTTGGGATCAAATCATGCAACGTGCAGGAGTCGGAGATGTACACTGCCACTGATTAGTCTCAAACCAGGAAGAAACGACCGTCTTTCAGTGCTTCCAGGTCTCTAACACTGACCTAACAATGATTGATTGATTGATTTCAAATGTGTAAAAACAATAATCTCCAAAATCTTAATTGAAAAAACTATAATTCTCTATTTAAAAAGTTAAATCAATCAATCAATCACTCAATAGCAACGTATAACTTCGTACGTACGTACTGTACATACATCAGCAGTTCACGTTGCTATACCACAACATTAAGACGCATAGAGATGTAATTGTCAATTCAAATCCCATAGTAGTAGTAGTAGAGGTATTAGCAGTAGTCGGAGAGGTTATGATTAGAAAATATGTGATTCAAGAAGTAGAATCTAGTGAAATCGACTTAAAAACATTAAGGGATGAAGAATTAAAAAAAGTTTAGCTATCACATATAACCGTTTGAATGAGAATCAAAGAGATTTTAAAAAAACTACTGGTATTAACCTCAGTCGACATGGTGAACTGATGAAAGTTCATTTTCATCGTCCCTAATATAATCAATAGCGTTTATTAGATAGATAGATAGATGCAACGCAGAACTTCGTACGGAAGTACATCAGTTCAGGTTGCCATACCACAACATCAGCACAGAGACGCAACTGTCAATTCAAATCCAAGAGTGGTAGAGATAGCAGAAGTAATAGCAGTAATGGAAAAGATTAGGGAGCGAACATATGGTTCGATAAGTATAATTCAGTAAGATAAATTAAGGAGGAGAAACATAGAGATGATGAGGAATTCAGAAGGGTTAGAATTTGAAAGAACACAAAGAGTGGATGCACCTGCGACGTTTATTCATACTTGATATATAAAAATCATTAAAACATACCAAGAAATGATATCGGTCTCTACTTATTTCGATGAACGTTTACTTGGTGTATTAAATCGACCACGATTATTTCCATTAGATTTTCCTGATGGTTGATGTTTAATACGACGACGTGTTTCAGAGAGATGTGGTAAATTTTCCGGTGGTAATACACGATAAATCCTGACAAGCCAATGTTTCGATGTAAATGCTTCTTCTAAATAATCTAATTCAAAATCTTTACGACCAATTTCCGAACCTCTTGTACGATCAAATCCAAGTGGTGTACGCATATCCAACCGTACTTCACCAAATCGATAATAACTTAATTTATACATTAAACAATTCAACATTGTCTCCGATGCACCTTTATCTATACGATATTCACCCTGGAAAACAAAAAATTTAAAGCACAAAGACAATTACACACCATTATGTGATCTACGATTAAATAGACAAAATGTAAATTTTTAGAACTTTCTTAATGAATTTGAATCAACAACTTCTACTTGAAGGAAAAATATGAGAACACAACAAACCAATAAAACTATTGTAGTGAAGGAGAACACAGGTGAGGTCAACCGAATTGTATTCATCGAAAATTACAGAGTTACTCAGTAGAATAAGAAAACCATATCGTAAACCGTTGTTAATTTGCAAATCTTCAATCAATCATCAATCCATTGTCTGACATTTCACCATTCATGCGTTTCATACAAATTCCATTGTGTTCCCACTCTTCTTCCTTTCTTGATCTTCCCCCATCTTCTGCTGCCAGACATTACGTTTACACTCGTGTCATATACTACTTATAAGTAGTGCGCACCACACTATCATTATTTGATTAATAGAAATACACTTAAATTCTTTTTTTCCCTAAAGTAAACATAACGATGGTAACATTTGTTGTGAGCGAGCCAGGATACCAGATTGACTATGCTCACCACTAAATATTTTCCATAATATCCCGCCATCATTGAAATCAAAATAAATCGATGATCCAACGTTTTATTTATTGAAGGAGACAGTAGGCATTACATGGGGAGCAGGGCATTTACAAAAAATGGCAGCAACGCGAAGAGAACGTTGCGCGCAAGAAGTGGTAGAAGTGATTTTGATACAGTTAAACAAAACGAGTACAATAATGTTTATTTTTTTGACAAGTTGTATTTTCTTCGTAGAAGCGTTCCAGTACACATTTTTAAGATAAAGTGACATCATCAATCAATCAATAACAACGTAGAACTTCGTACGTAATGTACATCAGTACAACATGCCATACCACATTACGTCACACAGAGATGTAATTGTCAATTCAAATCCCATAGTAGTAGAGGGAGTAAAAGTATTAGAAGTAATCGGAGATACTAGGGTTCGAGGATATTATTCAAGAAGTAGAATCTAGTGAAATAAACTTAAAAAGAGAAAGATAAAGGTGATGCGGAACTCTGAAGGTTAGGATTTGAGAGAACACAAAGAATGAATGCACCTGCGTCATTGCAAACGCTTTTGAAATAAATTGACGTAATCATTCATGATTAATTCCAAAACTTCAGTAGTGGAATTATGACAAATAGGTGGTTTGGATTATACTATATTCATGAGTTTATAATATTATCGCCTACCGCCCTTTTGGAGCTGAAACTGATATCAGCTCTAAGTAAGGAAGAAGAATTGTGGGCAACGTTAACAAGTCCACCTTGTAAAATAAAGCCTCGCCAAAAAGAAAGAACAATCAGAGTAAAACAAAGAAACTTTAAACTGGAAGACAAAAAAGGTCTACACATATGGAACAGTTGTGACCACGTCTCACGATTGCAGTCATTTGAAGCTCTACAAAGAAATCAAATACCCCATAAAGGGGGAGTCATTGGAATAGCCAAAGACAGACAGACAGACAGATACAACGCAGAACTTCGTACGCACGTAAGTACATCAGTTCAGGTTGCCATACCACATCAGCACAGAGACGCAACTGTCAGTTCACATCCAACAGTGATAGCAATAATAGAATGATTAGCAGTAATGGAGAAGATTAGGGAGCGAAGATATGATTCGATAAGTATAATTCAATGAGATAAATTTAGAAGGAGAAAGATGGAGATGATGAGGAATTCAGAGGAACAGCCAAAGAAACAAGACAATATGATCTCAAGGCGAAAGGAAAAAAGAACAGATATTAAGATTCATGAATAGCACTTGGCGAAAACTGGAAATTAGAGCCTACGATACAGAGCTGTTTGCATTTATCAAGTTCCTTACGGATTTTTTTTAAACAAGTGTTTTGGTCCTTCAAACCGATTTAATGGTACCTGTATTAAATTTTTTTGTTTACTAATACAAACAGCCCCCAACCGTAGCTGCCACCTTGACGTGGTGATCCGGCTTGACTATCGTGATGACCCAACCGAGCTATAATGGCTGGAACATACGTTCACGCACCAACACTAATCTATCTTCCTTTTCAAGTTCCTCAAGAAACAACATTCCACGGTGTGGCCAGCCGGGAAATGACATCCACTCCTCATACCCGTCACAACACACAAACAACCAGTTAATCAACTATTTAAACGGGCTAAGCATCAATATATCAAATAAGAATTCCGCTATACAAGCAGCAGCTTGTTACATGAAAACTCTTCACAATCTATTATAACATAACGTTTACATTGTACAGAAAGAAAGGACAAACAACTTACAGCTGAACTTAAGAAATCTCGTTCACGTATTTCATTCGGATGTTCACCGCCTCCAATACGTACCATCCATAAGAATTTATTAATATCATCACCACTATAACCAATGTAACCACCAAATATAACTAGTACATAATCGACATCTAAACTTTGTATAGTCTAACGTGTGCCAATGAAAGAAAGGATAACAAAAGTATAAGAACATTGGTATGAATTATCACATCACATCATAAAAAACCAGTGTATGAATTTAATAAAAATGCATAGTGATATAGACTACTTCCAGCCTTCCACCCGTTCATCAGACAAAGACGCTTGACAATTATCTCACAACTGATGACGATTCACTACTTCATTAATTGATCTGACATCCTTACCAAGTATTTGTGTCCTAACGACAGCATGGCTTATACGGTTGTCCCATGATACACGAACAATGCTTCTAAGACATCTATGATCGAATACTAGTAACCTACGGACATCTACTCTTAACGGCCATATTTCGCCTCGTCCTTTAGTCAGCAAATGGATATCTCGCCTTCGCCATAAACGGCGTAAATTGGCAAAAGCCAATCGACCTTTCTGTATCCGTGCTGACAGTTCGTCACACACATCAGGCCAGCAGCACTGATGAGACACACCAAGAGAGAAACACGTTACTACTTTCTAACATTTTAGAAATACCTTGGCTTCCAAAATAACCGGCTTTTAGTTTGCAAGGTGCTAATAAGAAACATTACATACACTTCAATAATCACAATTTGAATACTCTACCTAGTTCTGAACTAATACTAACGACTACAAATGATAACTAGCTTGAAAAGTACAAACTAAAATCTGTTGTTGTTGTTTCAAATTGTGATGCTCCACCAATAACTGACGGGATAAGCTTATCTGTCATTCAAAGTACTACAACTTATCTCATATAAACATCAGAGTTAGTACCTATTTTTTCTTTAGAAAACAACTGTCATTCATTCATTCAAAACTATCATAATCATTTAACTAATAAAGATACTATGAAAAGCAACATTCACAATGAAAAAACCACAGGTATGCTAGTCATTTTTTCTTGTAAACAAAAAAACTACTGCAATATACACATTGGAAGAAAATATTATCCAATTTAGTTTAGTTTAGTTCATTTTGAGATGCAGCTGAGTAATATAAGTACAGCTGACTGATTATTAAAAATCAAACTCCAACCGTAGCAAGTACAAATTCCAAATTCTTTTCTTAACTGTATAATTTGTTGACGAGTATTGATATATGTTAGGGTATATACAGAAGAAGTGTCAGCTAACAGACAAAAGATTTGGTTTCATCTTCTACAGAATGATGACCCGTTAGTTAAAAATGTGGTTTTATTTATGAGTGAATATATACATATATTGTCGATTTGGTTCTAGTAAACAAAACTCTTCTCTCATTTGACGTAGTCTCAGCGTACATGTATCTAGATAAATATATGAATGCTTATGGTGTTGTGACGAATGAGATCAACCTACGTATAGTGAAAGCCAAAACAACTTATTCCAATCTGTGTAATATTTAGCGCTATCACTAGGTTAGTTTCAGTGTATAAGATCGGGACAAACAATATGTCATTGTGAGTGGCTAAGCTCTGCTTTGTGTTTGTAAACCCAATCCACGGCAGTGAGGTTCAGTGACTTTTTATCAACGTTATTTCCTAACGATTAATGGCATTTGGATGTAACATCATATAAGTAATACTGTAATTCAACAGAGTGTGTTCCAATATAAAGATGATTTAGTTGAAGTCACCACCTTGAACACCGGCTTCAACACGACGTGTTGAGAAAGTCATTTCAACGGCTTTCATATCGTTCTTTTATTCGCTGTTCCTGGGAACAGTTGAGAAAAGTGGAAGTGGTCAGTACATTACATGACATTTGGATGGAACACCAGATAAGTGAGGCGGTCAATTCAAGTGCTCAACTACATCACTGCCTATCATTAGTGTTCCGGTGCCGATGCAACCTGGGGTCCTGAAGCAAATGTTTGGCATTTCGTGTTATCACAACAGGCGAACCCAATCACCATGTATGCAGTTATGATTGAATCGACATAGAAAAAAACCATAATATCCTTTCACACAAAAACCAATGTAATCATTGCTGACAACATGAATATAGATTAGATATTAAATTGATTACCTACCTTATAAGCTTCTGATTCATTCGATGCCATCGCTTTACCAACTAATGCAATATGACTATTATTCCATGTATTATTATCTACCAATGTAGTACGATTACCCATCCCAGCGATTTGATAACCATAATCCCACCATGACATGACACGAGCATCTTCTTTGGTATTTTGCCATAACCAAAAGTATGCCTCACTAAGAGAGGAAATATAAAAGACAACATTGTTTTTATGTGCGATATATATATATATATATATATATATATATATATATATATATATATATTGAAAAAAATATATATCTGCGTGATAGTTCAGTCAGTACTTAAACACTAATCAGTCGACATTGAGCTTCCGTGAGACGATAGTCACCGATGGTTAAAGACTTTGAATGACATGGCTCAAAATCGTTTGCAATGGCGCAGATGCATCCACTCTTTGTGTTCTATGAAATTCTAACCTTCTGAATTCCTCATAATCTTTATCTTTTTCCTTCTAAATTTATCTTACTGAATTATACTTCTTGAATAACATCTTCGAACCCTAATCTCTCCGATTACTTCTAATACTTTGACTACTACTACTACTACTACGAAAGTCACCGGTGTGTATTAGCTTAAATGAGAAATTAATATCGAGAGAGTATTATTTACTGGCTACTTTGCAAGTAGTATATACTATTGAACAGAATTTTTAATAAGTTATTTTTAAAATATTGACCTGATTGTAATGATAACTACTTTTAGCTAGTCTGTGAAATGAAATGTAATTTTCGACGCTAAACACACTTGATCATAGTAATTAGTTGACGAAAATCCAACGACTATCGTCGAAGTTTTCGAAATGGATACAGAAAGCTACGTTGACATTTATCGGTGAAATATTTAGGTTGGTACAACAATTCACTCTATATGGTTTTACACCATTTTGAATCATATGGAAGTTTTTTTAGCATTAAGGGATCCTGAAAAAATAAGTGGACATATGCTATATGCTCAGTCAATCATTGTTAGACTAACACCATTAGAAACCTGGAAGCACTAGACGGCCGTCAAGTCCTGGCATGGGACTCATCAGCAGTGCGCATCCACGACTCCTGAACCTCTCAGGATTCGAACCCATTACTTGCAGTGTGGCACGCGAACGCCTAACCATCGGACCACTGGAACGGCCGGCATTTAACGGTGTTAATGTGTAACTCTGATTGATCTAGGGATTTTGAGCGATCTCACCCATTTGTCTTTGGTAGTTACTGCCTACACCAGACAGGGTTGAACTCCATTAGTCACGTCTTCTCGTTACTAGAACTCCTCACGAAACTAGTCACTATAGTCTGCACCATAGATTAACCATATCAATGACTCTGCCTGAAAATAGCTACATGCACAAAAAAGTTGTTGTTTTGATAACTATTTTACTTACCGAAAATCATCCAAAATATAACGAGTTCCATCACTGCCATATGATGCTAATACAATAGATGGACTTGAATAAGCATTGGATGATACCCAAACACAATGTGAAACAAATAGATATAGAATGAATACAATTAAAACGTAAGCAATTGAACGTAGACTATTGCCATTGTTTCCGGATGATTGTGCAGTTGATCGATTTGTATTAGTGGTAGTACTTGTTGATGTGTCTTGATCAGTGGAATTCACCTAACAACAATATATGAAAAGGTATATATATATATACCAAGATAGTTTATACATTTTTTCTTAGAGTATTAAGCATAATCAGAGACTTAGTAATTGTAATACTCAGAATAAAAGGCTTCATGCAGAGTTAGAATAGCATTTTTTTCTGAGCAATAACTTGGTACTTACTTACTCACTATGAATTCATGCAAAAATTGACAGATCATAAACGAACTGTCAACCAATTAATATTTCTAAATATATAAAAAACATTAAAATTTGTTACCAATCAAGGTTGTTGGAAGGCATTCGATATATGTTTGATTACCCCGTGTCTATCACGATATGTGCACTATAACGGCTAACATAGCAGTGGGGTAGAAATAAAACTGAACAGTTGCACATAATGTCAAAAATTAAAAGCCTTAGCCCTCAGCCTCAGCAGCAGTAGGTCTCAACATTCTCCAATGCAACACAGCATGCACCAACCAAACCACTCTTGATGGAGATGCCTTGGAGAACGTTAACACCTTTACATATCTGGGCAGCATCATCGACGATCAAGGTGGGTCCGATGCACATGTGAGGGAGTGGATTGGAAAAGTAAGGGCTGCATTTCTACGATTGAGAAATATCTGGAACTCTAAACAAATATCAATCAACACCAAAATCAGCATTTTCAATACGAATGTCAAGATAGTTATACAGTGTGGAGCGGAAACTTGGACAACTACACCAAAGCCATCATCCAGAAGATACAAGTGTTTATTAACAACTGTCTACGCAAAATACATCGGATTCGTTAGCCAGACACTTAGCAACAACTTACTATGGGAAGGAACAAACCAGATTCCAGTGGAGGTGGAAATCAAGAAGAAGCGGTGGAAGTGGATAGGAAACACTGCGAAAAGCACTGAACTGCGTCACAAGACAAGCCCTCACATGGAACCCTCAATGTGAAAGGAAAAGAGGAATGCTAAGGAACACATTAGGCCGAGAAATAGAGAAAGATATGAGAGGAATGAACAAACGCTGGAAAGAACTAGAAAGGGAAGCCCAAGACAGAATTAGTTGGAGAATACTGGTGGGCGGCCTATGCTCCATTGGGGGTAACAGGCGAAAATAAGTACGTAAGTAAGTAACCGTCTGACTTCCTCTAACGACTATCTGTTCTACATAAAAGCGTCGAACGTTCAACTGTCTACTTATTGGCAATGAAAATCAATAAATAAATTAAAAACATTGACTTACCTTTTTATTTGTCTTATTCGGTTTATCATATAAACGTTTATCCACCGAATTCTGTTGTTCATCATTATTAGATCGATTGGTGATAGCATTGGTGCTTTCGGCATCTTTCTCATTTAAGAATAATTCAAAGACACGTGAAAAGGCGATCGCAGAAAATACACAAACAATTGGCGTCAATGTGAGCATTAGACGAACCATGACACCAGCAAAATACGATGCAAATATGGCATACAGTATCACGAAAACACGTTCATCATTTAAATCTTTAAAGCAAAGTCTTACACCAGCTGGAAATGTAGCAATTAATACGTGTAGATCAAAAAAGAACGATGCCCATGAAGTGGGTTGATGCTCAGAGACGGATGTGATAATTGGAATATGAATTTTTGCATAACCAGTATCCCATAGAGAATAAAATCTGAATAATTGTGTAAATATAATAATGAAAATTGTTCAAAAAATTGTTTAAACAATATATATTCTATTCAATGTTTACGTCATTTGAATAATAAAAGAAAACACTTGGAAATAAAAAATCATTGGACAGTATTTCACTATAATTTGTGTGTAGAAACACATCTAATTACAAGGTATTGTAAGATTATGTTAGGTAACTACCTCACCACAAACACTGCCTGGTTGTAGGTGTAGGAAGGATTTGATTTTGACCAATTTGGTCTCGTGTGCTGGTACGGGTATAAGGGCGGTTGTCACTTCCTGGCTGCCCACACCGTGGAAGGTTGTTTCTTGAGCGACCTGAAAACGAAGATAGATTAGTGTTGGACTTACAGACCTAGGAGCGTGACCGCAGAGTCCAAGGAACAACTGCTTGAAGCCGGTCATGCACGGCCTTTTTATGAAGGGTTTGTTGAGTATTAGCTCCGCTCTTGAAAGCCCTTAGTGGGCGCCCTTACCGACGGAGACGGAAATCTATGAGGTAAGGTGAGGTGTGACATTTTTAGGGTCAACCTTTCTAACCCTTCCTTCCTTGTGAGAAGTCAGCATTGCTAAAGATGCTGGTTGGCCGAGGGAAACACCTTACTTCTGTCACACTCCTCTGGAGTCAGTCAGCAGTATGACTTTGCCCTCAGACCTTGGGTAGCTGTTTTTAGTCTCATCGTTCTCCAATCGACCTGACTGGCATGGTAGAACCTGCAGGAACATATGTTCCAGCCAGTATAGCTCGGTTGGATCATCACGATAGTCAAGCCCGACCACCACATCAAGGTAGCAGCTACGGTCGGCCTGGTTATGAAGAAATTTTTCTCTCTACTTGAAACGGTCTTACACACGCAAGTGTTTATAGTCTAAGTTTTGTGAGTTTCATTCGCTGTCTTCATACTGATGAGGAGGATTATGAAAGTAAGAATAAAATGTAATGATCTACAGTCTAAACACGAATGGTTGATACAGAGAGTTCACTTAAAAGAGTTGGTAAACCATAATTACGAACTAAAAAGTGAACACCGGATCCAGTATCCACAGGAGATAATTAACCTGTTAACGGAAAACGGACATCACAAGACCGCATCTAGATTCGTTCCTTCAACTCCTCATGTAAATAAGACTTGCAGGTCAAGGCGTTGCGTAATGATTTCCCTAGAGGTATCACCTACTCTTTCTAACCAGCATCTCATCTCTGGCATAAATATGATAACTATTACTTATGAAAAAGAAAAAAAGTTCTCCTCACCCCGCCTCATCATAAATAATACAAACGGTATCCACAATCACATATTGTTAAAAACAAAAAGATTGTTTTACTCTACATCATTTTTTTATTTGCTTTTATCATTCAACTCATTTAATAATACAACTTTGGTGGAAGTTCTGTCCTATCTAAAGTTTCAAAATCGCTGAGTGGTCGATAGTTATGTATAGCGCTACTGAATAGTCAGTCAGATGCAACGTAGAACGTTGTACGTAAGTACACCAGTTCATGTTGCCATACCTTATCGGCACAGAGATATAATTGTCAATTCAAATCCAATAGTAGTAGTAGAGGTAGTAAAGGTATTAGAAGTAATCGGAGAGGTTAGGATTAGAAGATATTAATATTCAAGAAGTATGATTCAGTGAGAAATGTTTAGAAGGTCAAAACTAGAGGTGTTGAAGAACCCAGAAGATTAGGATTTGAGAGAACATAGAGAATAAATGCACCTGCGCCATTGCAAACAATTTTGAGACATGTCATTCAAGGTCTCTAATCATCGATTATTATCATCTCGCGGACCCCAACCAGGTAGTCGACAACCAGCGACATGGCTAAGTCCACTCGTCAATGACTTCATGCATTTCTGCCATGTCCCGGTCCAACCTATTTCTACACTACAAAACAAAGCTCGTCGAGGCAGTAAATAATACGCACACGGATTTATTAATATTATGGTGGAGGAGGAAGAAGCTCTACCTGAAGTTTTTACTGATGATGTTGTTCAGATGAACAATGAAATCATTCAGCTCAGAGAATGCAACTTCATCATAATCATCCACCTAAGCTACAAACTTCCTCTACCATTTGATTTAATATGCTTGATATCAATAGGTATCAGGTTCGAATACCAGTCGATATAACCAGATAGTATTGCTTAAAGCTGAGTATATAAACGTGTACTTGGAAAATGAGTTATACCAATGTAAAAGACAACTTGATAACTATACAAATTAGAATTATAGACAATGCTATGTGATTCAGTATATCGGGTGCATTCTCACTGAGGCTGCATTAAATTAAACGGCACTAACTGAGTCTGGATGGAACAAAATTTGATAGTGTTACGCGATCACTTGAGGTAGTCGACTGTATGGACTATTCAAATCAACTAATTTGTAATTGATCATATCCATCAGCATCAGTCCCCTGAATCCTACTTTTATACGTGTGAAATATGGCCAGTAAGAGTAAGCAATAATCGTAGATTACTAGCATTCGATCATAAGTGTCTTTGAAGCATTGCTCATATATCGTGGACAACCGAGTAAGCAATGCTACTGTTGAGACACGAGTACTAGGTAAGGATGGCAGATCCACTGATGAACTAGTGAATAGTCATCAGTTAAGGTGGTTGCGACATATGTTACGAATACCCGCAACCACCAACTGCCTCGGCAAGCTATGATGCCTGTTGTAGGGGTAAGTTGGAAGAAAGCTAGTGGCGGCCAAACCGAAAACATGGCACACGTCCATGAAGCCACTGAAAGCTGGAGTGAGCCATGTTGGTAGGTGTAGACTACCTGGTTGGGTCCGCGAGACACTAGTAACCAATGTTTATAGACCTTGAATGACATAGCTGAAAATCGTTTGCAATGGCACAGTTGCATCTGTTCCTTGTCTTTTCTCCAATTCTAACCTTCTGAATTCTTCATCAGCTTTATCTTTCTCTTGTTAGGTTGACTTCACTGAATTATATTTCTTGAATAATATCTTTGAACCCTAATCTTCTCGATTACTCCTAATACTTCTACTACATCTACCACTATGGGATTTGAAGCGACAATTGCGTCTCTGTGTTAATGTGACATGACAACTTGAACTGATGTACGTACATAAAAAGTTCTACGCTGTAGCTGACTTACTGACTGTTACATATGTTTCGCCTGACTTATTTTAATGGCAAAAAGGTAAAAAGAGCTTATTACTTCATATAAAGTTTTACTGTGAAGTAAATTATGGAACATTAAAACTTTTTCCAAACAAGTTTAAAGGTAAAAATATATAGACATCCATTATAAATATACATCGATAACCTTTTGCAATCGAAACAGGGGACGAAACACGAAACTGTTATGAGACGGTATTAGTTTTTTTTTTCGAAAAATTTAAAACTCATAATTACACAGATTTATTTAAATAATCCTACCTGCCACTCCAAGGTGCAATAACACCAGCGTATGTTAGTCCAACTACAACAAGGAAAATAACTCCAGCAGAAAGAATGGCTCCAAATGTAAATAATTGTTTCAAAGTATCAGAAGGAATACGAGTTTGTAGATATTTGAAAAAAGCAACAACCTACAAGTAAAGATAAAATATGTTTGGTGAGGTATTTTGACTAAAGTATTAGAACAAAACATTGTAACTGTAACTACCAAAGACATCTTTAATATACTTGAAAATGTATGATCACTTTTAACCAACCTCTAGTGTACCATGTCTCTATATCTATCTGCATGTCCACACACAATACTCAAGAATTGATGTATTTTGGAATGAAATAAACCGACTACTTGAGAAAACAGAATTATCTTACTTGTAAATAATCAACAATTCCGCCTATGTCAACAGGACGTAATTAACGTACTTCATTTGCCAGGTTCATGTTTAGATACTTGGCTTTGGGTCACACTGTGTGAGGACTAGCGGTATTATCTAGATGTCTAAATCAACTTAGGTTTTTCGGAGTTTGAGCCTGAAACAATAGATGATAATCACGCGTAAAGTACATAACGGTGTTAACATGTACTGAGTCAGATTGATAGGTCGTTCAATTTACATATTGGGTTATAATCTGCCTTTGATTTTAAATACTAACTTGAGTAGCAGTGAATTGCTAACCAGTCAACTGCACAAATTTATAAAACCATTAGAAGTTGTTCAAAGATTCTTGGATCGAGTTTCTACCTACAAATATATCATAGTTTTTAAATGTATTTACTTTTTATCTTAAGATCTATACTTTCTCTTCCTAGTTGTCGTTTTTCTGTCCCGATATTTTTTAAACTTTCCGTTCTTGGAACAGGAATGAGTTCTTCAATTTGAAACTAAGAATTTTCGTGGTATTCTACTTGGTGTTTAAGTAATTAAAATGAAAGTTATTGAGCTTCCAAGATAACATTACGGATGTAAAGTGGTTCTTCTACATCTAGGCTTACATCGCCGGCCCTGAGGATTTGTTATGATCTGGCTGTCGAATGTAAGCAAGCATCTAAACACAATCACTGAACCTTTAGTTCAAGAAGTGGAGTCAATGCTGAAGCACTAGACTTTCAACTACTAATTTGCAAGCTTAGAAGGCTTCACATTCAAGTGTCGGTAGCCTAAGAGTACCATGACGCTCAACAAAAAAAATGTAGTTTACAGTTGAATGAAAAAGACAGAATCCACCTAATATTTTATTGCTCCCAGCACTCCCGTTTAGTGGTGATCCATTATAAGTCGAAAAATTCGTATATCTGGGTAGTTATGTGACTGCATGGCACCACGGTATGAAAGATAGCTGTATAACACTTATCTGTAGGTCTGCTGCAACTTTATGGCTAGGGTCCTAAAGGTAGTGCAACTGACTAAGTCTCAGAAAAGAACCCAGTAGAAATCCTGATATGGTTTTATACTGTACTCATCGCATTGGTAAAAAGGGCTTTCCCAGCTTCATCTTAAACTAAACTACATTTCCCACCACGTCAGATCTCCATTCTTCGTACGGTTAATTGAACTTCCATTTTTTGGATTTTCGTTTTTATATTATCTGTTCATTGATACGGCGCATACTTTCCAAGTGCCTAATTTTACCAGAGCTGATGTGATGTAAGTCAATAAGAAAACACTAGACTAAGTCAATCAAATCTTGCATGAATAAAAAGTTAGCGTGCAAACTTGGACTTAGTTATTTGTTACAGATATGAGGCATAATGGCGCTGATCTAATATTTTATTAGTACGTAAGTTTGATTAAATAGTAGTACAGCTGATAGATATTTTACCACTAGTCAAAACAAAAACTATGACGGCATATACTTACTTGAAGAAGTGCAAACACTCCTATTGATGCCATATGTTCACTAGTACGCAATGGCTGAAAACCAACAAATGGTATTTGCATTGACATTATTAAACCCAAGACAAAGAATGTTGTGTAAGCCACATACAATTTCGCGCTATATCTCTGCATAATGAGTAGTACGAAAATGTGTAACGGGATAAGATTTATGATAAACACATAGCCACCCCAAGCAGATACCATGTAAAAATATGCAATGGCACAAAACGCAGCCCAAAAAACTTTGCCTGTTTTAACAGCTTTAATCCACAAATAGTAAGTAAACATAAGTGCGAAAATTGCGATTCCTTCATTATCATAACTGCCAGCAGTTGAACGACTTATATAACCAGGAGCTAATGAAAATGGGTTAACTGTATAATACATCAATTACCTATTGCGATAAAGCAAGCAGCAAACAAACCCGCTCCTTCATTCCAAATTTCCTTGGTGAAAAAGTAAGTTGCAATAGCAGTCATGCCACTGAATACAGGAGCAAGAAAAACACAAACTTCACGAATGTGAACCGGAAAACTTAGGAGGTGGCACATGTAGTGAATAAAACCTAAAGTACGTTGGTCTATATGTATATTTCACAAACCTGAAGTTATCATCAAACCAGGATAGACAGTGCCTCCAACGATCCTCCCAAGTGGGTACCACGCAGTGCTGTCAAACCAGTTGTAAAAGTTCTGAAAATTGGTTTCGACCATTTGCTTTGTTGCCCGGTAATTGAACCAAGGATCAAACTCATGGATGACACTTTCGAAACGTATAACCGAGAAAAGACGTATACTGAATCCAACGATCCATGCCAACAGCAAAACACAGAATGTTACAAGCCCGGTACCTCCCTTAGTCGAGACCGAGGAAACCCGACCACCAAAAAGCGTAAGCATTTCTGACAAGTTCGTAAGTCGCGGGTTGACGCAAGCCTTCAAGAGGTGACACGTATGCGACAACTCATATTTACTCAATCCTCAATCGTGACGATAATTTCTTTAAATTCATTTGAGGTATCATTGGGATAAATATAATTAGTGTGCTGGTCTGTTACTGTTAATCAAAGGTGTGTTGCGCATGGTCAATATATATTATATGAGAGCGGACCAGTTACGAGACAAGCATTATGTATAGATTATCTAAGCGACAGAAAGTAAATCATTACTAATTACTTCCTTGTCTAGCACCATTTAGAGGCTACCCACTAGAATAGCTTTGGTCAGTTCAGCTGGGTTTTCGAATAGGAGCAACTCATGGAGAGGAAAAGCGGCAGCTATGTTTGGTGCTTGCGTTTTGATGTGAAACATTTCGGAGGTTACCCTGGTCAACGTGATGGCCATGTCCTGATGAAAATTGGGTGCTGAGATGAAAAAATTACTATATGCCGCCACCAAATCACCTCTTATTCCTGCAAAACTAAGTAGGTATAATTCCAAGTTCTTGAGTCCTTCTTAAGGTTTATTCTGTAGCCCTAACCCTAATTTGTTGCTCGTCCTAATATTCAGAATAAGTGATTTATGTTTCCTTTGAAGAGAAGGGTCTTGAAAACAATGTGATCTCCTGAACGGGCCAATGAGAACACTTCCTCCGGTTTGAAATCGAATATAACATCGACAGGTCACTCTCCCTCGAGAGTTATTTACCTGTCCGAAAGTTTTCTTACGAGTAGATTCGGTACTCAACAACCATTCGAAGTATCTTTTCACGTGATCACTCATCACGAAAAGACCTTCGGGGTCGATGGACATAGTCAGCATTGATTGTCTTATACCAGCACACGTCAATGACAGTGCCCTAACCTGGTAAATCGAGATTTAATGCTGGACTCTTTCAACGCACTAGCGGAATCCTCAGTTCTCCTTCTGATGCCACGCTAGATGGATCATAAACCTCATTCTCATGTCCCAGTCAGCAGCACGTATCATCTGCCGTATCTGCGGATGAGACTCCGGTCTCACATATAGATCAGCAGACCACGCCTCCCTTGACTTCGGATGAGATTAAAGGCTCATGAGGTGCGCACGAGACTACCGTCTCGCGTTCCAGTTGCGGCGTACGCCTACCTATACGCTTTCGCGACCAGTATCCCAATCAACAACGAATGCGCGATAGGACATTATCTTTATACTACATGTATGCTACACCTTTCTCTTTTTCCTCCATTTTTTTATCCTAAGCCCATGCCTACGACCATCGCCCTGTTAGTACCGTAGACTTTAGCCAATCTTGGAGAGAGTTGACCTGATCACCCACGCTCTTTTCAAAGAACTAATTCGATGTTATGGTTCCAAACGTATCTGGCGCACGTATGGACTCGAACGTGTTAGCTCTGGTAGTTACTGGCTCCTTCGCCCAATGTGGTTCTGTCCGAAGTCTGTGGCGTTTTCTGGTCCGAGCACAATCGTCAGACTCTGGATACGAGCCACGCTGGTGTGGCATGTCAACTCGAGCAGCATACCTGGCACGTTACTATTGGTACAGTACAACGTGGAAGACTATCGGTGACAACTCCAGCTTCATTAGTCGCTTCCTGTTCGCTAACCCTTCCGCACTACAATCATACTATGGCTGACCACCCCCCCCCGAACGCAACCGCGATGTATTGAAAATGCAAACCCTTTCTAGGGGGGGGGCTGATGTAGGGGAACACTCCTACGTATAAAACACGATTGGTGAAAAATAAACATTTATTATTGTACTCGTTTTGCTTAACTGTACCAAAAACACTTTCTTGCGCGCAACGTTCTTTTCGCGTTGCTGCTATTTTGCATAGCGTGCTGCGGTTATAATCCTTCAGAGAGACTTTCCGCTTGTGCCTGCCTCTACTCTTCGTCTTTAGCAGGAGTCATTGCCTCGTTTAACCTATTGGTCTACACCACTCTCGAAGCGATAGGGCGTGCAGAAGATGCTCTTTCATGGTCACGTAGCTTGCCCTGGTGTAGCAAAGGTAGTGAGCGCTTTCGTCCCTCAGAAGTATTTTAGTGATACAAGATCTAATTTCGCTTTATACAAATAATTGAAAATTGTAGGAAAAAATCTCCTCTTTGATTTGCCTATATCAATCTTGGGCAAAACCCATATGTATAAGTTCATTATGGTTTCAAGTGGACGAAGTTATTTCATAAATTTGCATAAGCAAATACACGATGAACAGAACCATTAAAGTAAAGTGAAGTCAGGCGGCAGGCGAGCCAACTGAATGAGATGAGGTATGACTAAGTGTTTTTAGTCAGACAAAAACAAGCTGGACATGTGAACAAGCTAAGCAATCAATGCACACATTCACTCAAATAAACATAACCAAGGTTATAGGCATATAAATTACAAGGTGGAAAGACGTGCGAATAATAGCTCCGAAAGAATAGATCAATTAGTTTGCCCAGAGGCTGGGGCACACCATGTGGTCTAAACATTCTAGCACATATTATAGTATCTCGTTTGTAAGCATGTCAAACATTGGTGTTCCATGGTCACCAATCGCTATTTGTGCGCAGATGTGGACAACCTCGATTCTTAGTAAATGGTCCAGGCTTGAGGGCTTTCGGCTCTTAGTCCATCTCTTGGCATAACTCACATGTTCGGTAAGTTCCGAACTTCTAATGGGTGGGTAAAGGTGCCTCTAGAATCCGTTTGAAGAGGCTGTATCCTGCTTGCTGGCATTTGGAAATGGAGTGTTGAGGTCTGTAGCTAGTAGTATTAAGTCAAACCCCAGGTGTGATGGTTTTAACACTGCTTAGATTATCTTATGTTTATGGGCATCATTACGTGTTGGGAGCCGGGTAAATTACTCCAATAAAGTATTTTGTACCATTGGCGTTGAAGCAGCATCGGCATGAATCTGTCATAAAGGTTAGTTGGGTGTTGTGTGATGCTGTGTCTTTGAAGTGACCGGTAATGTCTGTTGCCACTCAACCACCTGTTTTTTACACCATGGCCTCGAAAGAGTCTTTCTTCATGAGCTTACATCTTCTACTGTCTATTTTTAGGTCTTTTGGCAACGTCACTTTCTGATCCATCCTAATCTACCCACTTTTCCTCTTACGTTGCTATGAAGGTACTTCATTTTATATCTCACCAACTAATGCTCCTTAGTGGGAGCAACTGTCTTTGAGTTTCTTGAAAAATCACTTTAATTGGATGGATCTTCTAAAGATCTTATCGTTATCAGAATGAAGATGGGAATCAAATGCTTAAGGACTACCGAGTCTATAATAGTGGGATGTTTTTGTGAGAGCCCTTCATCTTTCGATACTTAGTTGTTCGTTCAAAATGTAGCTTGTAGTAAAGTAGACTTGTCAGTTTGTTAGCAGTCTACGAAATCAGTCTCATACACACCTGACTAATATAAAACATAGAAACTAAGTGATTAAAATCCTTAAATTTAATGAACATGAATCCCATTTGATTTTACAGATACGTAACCACCATCACACGGATTTATTACGACGGACTACACTGCAAAGTAATGCATCAAGGGTAGCTAATACATTTATTCCGAATAAAGACCGGTATCGGAAAACGTTGCTTGCCCTCAATGTTTCTCTTCCCCGTGATGGTTGACTAAGTTTTGAAGACGTACACAGAATACAATGGACATCACAGACGAAGTTAGATGTTTTGAACATCACAAATGATCAAGTTCCTCTGTTCAACATAGTGACAAATGCAGGTAAAAAACGTCGGTATGGCTATTGCCGCTGCAACGGTACTCTTCAGTATGGAGAACAAAAAAATAACGATACTTAAATGCAACAAAGTAGGTACTAACCAAATCACGCTTGGTAAAGAAACTTTGGGAGAGTTGGACACGTTTTCGCACCCGGGCTTCATGATTGATAAAGAAGGCGGACCTGAAGCAGATGATAAGAATGAACTGACAAGACAAGGGCAGCTTTCCAGCAAGCGAAAAACACCCGGAATTCAAAAGAACTATCAGCCAACACCAAAGTCAGAACTTCCGGTACAAACTTCAAGACAGTTCTACTGAATGGAGCTGAAAATTGGAGAACTGCCAAATCCATTATCCAAAAGAGTTACGACCAGTGCTTAAAATCAGTTTCCTACGCAAGATACTCAAGATCTGTGGATGTTGAGGACTATGAATGCGTCTCTTAACCAGCGATATCTCACGTCTCACGATAATAAAACTAAATACAGGATAGTCCAGATGAAATAAGTATACTTCCCGGGGATTTCATGGTATCGAAAGAATACCGAAATCGGGTCAGAGGAAATGGGAAAAAGGTACAAATAAGCAAAAGCAAGATGATGACAGCACAAAAAGAAAATGGTTCATAAGTAATGATCAACCAAATGCTCAGGAAATCTTTCACTGGTACAGTAAGTTACAACAATGAGTGTTGCTATTTAACCAATCAAGTGAAATCATTAGAGATCCATCGGCCAAAGAAGATTAGCGAAATCCGCTACGGTAGAGAAGAACACAGTATGAAGCTGAGGAAATAATCATAACAGAACGTTGGAGGTGGATAGGACACATGTTCATGAATCAAGCCGTAACTTGAAATCCCCAGAGCGAAGGTAACAAAGAAGGACTGTAATATATCTTGTGATGGAACGCGGAGGCTGACATCGTAAGAATAAACTGTGAAGGAAAACTCAGGGCAGAGTTGATTGCACATCGCTTATCATTGACCTATGTTCTTTAGTGAATAAAAGGGGTGCAGCATTTCACCATTCATTCATTGTGCTTCAATGATTTGTCATTTAAATTATTCGATAATTGTATTGACCATGATATTGTATTTGCAATAATTCGACTACATTATCGATTATTGTATATTTGATTGTATTTGGATGCGTTATCGCTTATTACATGTCTAGCCTATGATTGCTTGACTATAAATACTTAGCCATTCTTCAGCTCATGGAAAGGTGGCTCACTCACCTTCTCCAAGTCGATTTGTTCGCTTGTACGCTTCCTTTCTC